CAACTTTCACATCAAATTAACTTCTTAATTCAATAACAACTTGACTTGATACTTCATAAATCAAACTTAAATGATACATAAAACTTCACTTAGTATAACTTCAACTTCAAATACTAAAACTTTACTTAATGGACTCGCTAATATCACAAAACTTATTAGTAATCGAGGATTGTGTGAGGACCAACGCTCTACAAGAACTACTACTATGCGAGGACCCCGTCTGACTGACTTTCCCTTAATTTATACTTTCTTTGATCGTACGTTCCAGAATCCTGGAACCTTCTCCGATAATTATTTTAGTAACTTTGACCTTCTAGAAGCTGACGTGTGCTATTTTTTTCCCTTAACCTCTTTCTTCGATTGGATATCTAAAATTAACTTGTTTACGCTGGACACTTGCACTGGTTCGAACTCGAGCTTCTAGAAACTGGTCGAAATAGGTCACAGACTCGACTCGTGACATATATATATATATACGCTCAACATTGTCTTTTTTTCACATTATATATATTATTATTATTATTATTATCTTCTTCTTATCTTGAACAAAGTTTTGCTAACGAAGCTTACACAAACATAGATATCGCTATCAGAATAAACAAATATGCCACAGATGGCCCTGTAGAAGGAAATAATGAATCACGTGCATTTTCAGTAAAAAATCTGTTTTTCCCCTTATTGTAATTATTTTAAACATTATTCCTTTTTTTTTTTTTTTTTGTGTGAAATAGCCGAGTGAGTTGGTCATCATCTTTCCTTTGCGTTCCTAGTGAAACATAGAGCCCCCCCCCCTCCCCCTCCCCCCCCCCCCCCCAAAAAAAAACCACCACTCCTCACGGTGTCTTGGTAGTTTTTCAATTCCTAGCTCTTTCCTGTCCTCGGCTTTGTCTAGTCTAGTCTTCGTCTGCGTTTTGTTCTCTAGGGTTCCACTCTAAGGCATTGTGGAGTGGTCGGCCTTACATTAGTCTTTCCGCTTTCCCTGTACAGACTTTCCTTTGTGTAGCTCTACTCTCATTTCTGACTGTTTAGTGTTTGTATTTTTGATATGGTTTCTGTAACAGTGACAGTTTATTTTTCCATGGACAGGCTGTTCGCCTATCGCACAACCCTCGTGTCCTGGAGAGGGTAATGCACTTTTTGCCTGACCTCTTTCCTTACAGACTTATCCGGCTTGGTAGTATCTGCCAGTAGTGATGAGCTCCCGCTGGTATAGCTCTGAGGTGATGAGGTCCCGCTGGTATAGCTCTGAGGGTCATTAAGGCACGCAATTTGTCACTCCGCGGCAAGGTATGTGCATCAGGTGACTTAACAATGAGTGGATAATAAAGGTTAATTTAAGGATGAGTTTTATTACTTACAGGTACAAGCACTTTTCTTCAATGGTGAAATATGTGTCATTATCTCAGACAAAAAAGGAATTGCAATGAAGCCTTGATTAATATGCTAAATTAACTTCTGGTTTCCACCTTCATGACTACATAATGTTTGATCAGCTTTTAAATCAATATATAGTCAAGTGGTTCCTTTCTTGCTATTTGAAGTTCTATTTGTTTTGATAACATATTAGACCCATGTTCATTTATGCTTCATTTAAAAAAAATACGAATTTACCTAATACAATTCATTTCTACAAATCATGCACACTTGTAGTTGTAATTAAACAGACTCCACACTTTAAAGAACACGGTTTAACTCTTTCTCTCCGAATTTATTTACCACATTCTAGTGGAATCAACGTTGGTATCGTTAGTTAGGAGAGAAAGAGTTAATTATTAAGACTTCGTGGAAAAAAAAAAGAAATATTATTATGATAAATTTATATTATTACTAAAATACTTAACTTTAAATCAACATTTCACACGTTGCCAGTAGCACTTCTACTCTTTCTATAGATTGCCTAAGCAAAGTAGGCAGCGGAGATCATTTCTGACTTTGCCAGGAGTTTTTGGGCATCTATAGAATGACGCATTTCGCAGTTTGCTGGTAACACTTATAGATTGTCCGTTTCATTTATTTCCCTTTGCACGTGCAAATGTATAAGTTGTCGAAATTGCTGACTACTGAGATATATGAGAAATAGTTACTGTAACTAGCAGTAATTAGTTTGGAATGTCATTCCCCTTCTGGTGTCTAGTTAACCACTATCGAGATTAATGTAGAATTACTCCCAAAATCATGTTGTGTTAAAATTGTCTGTACACTGTTACACAATATTTGACACACTCCTATCTTCATATAAGAACTTTTTGTATTCATTTTATGGTGAGTTTAGCTTAGAAGAATAAAATACTCAGAAAGACACAAAGGTAAAGGCACACTCAGCGTTCCATGTGCTAGGACAAATCTGTACAAATGCTCCTTCTTCCCCAGCGCTATTAGAGCATGGAATGGGTTGCCTGAGCTAGCCAGGAAAGCCCGTGAATTGGCAAACTTTAGGTCATTGGTTAATATGCATGACTAATGCATGACGCGTAGGAGGTAATCATCTTCTTTTTTGAAGTAACGTCTGTATTATATAAGATAAGATAAGATAGATTTGTTGTTGGAAATGGAAGAGGAAGTCGCAGAAATATCCCAAGTAGAACAGACTGACTGCAACCCAGAATTCGTAAATGACCTCGAAAATAAAGCAGCATTGCTATTTATGTAATGCTTGTGGTAGTATTTTCGTTGCTAATATTTGTCGATACAGTGAGCTACGAAGAATTCTTATGGTAACTCATTCTGTACCAAACCGACATCCTAGAGTACTTAGTGCACCATCTGTGCAGACACCACAAATATTTCTATAGTCTTATATTTTTTACAATCATTAACAAACTTTGTCAATTACATCACGTGTTTTATATGTAGTTTCAAGAATTTGCATAGAAACTAACATTTAAACTCGCCTTCATGTATACATCTCATGTACACTAGTAATTGTGAACAATTTTAAAAGTCTGTTGACACATCAAGCTGGATGCTAAATATTGGAAAAGTTGCAGACATAAATTACCTGTGCCAAAGGTTTCTAAACCAAAGGAAATGAATGACTTGACTATAGACCTGTTTCACTTACTTCCATTGTGTCTAAATGTTTAGAAAAACTGTTTAAAATGTTTCTTTTGTAGTAAGTTGGACCCTTTACAATTGGCTTACCAAATAGGAAAAGGTGTCGACGATGCCATCCTAAATATACATTTAAATTGAGTATACAAATACATGGCCTTACCTAACTCTTATGTAAGATTGTTCTTTATTGATTTCTCATCATCTTTTAACACCATACAACTTTATTTACTTATTAAAAAAATGAAAGCGTTGAAGGTAAGTCCATATATAATATTATGGGCTAATGAATTTTTGACACAAAGACCTCAGAGGGTTAGGGTAAACAATGTAATATCCAGTGCACGCATAGTTAACACAGGGGCGCCCCAGGGTGGCTGTGACATCGCCATTGTGGTTCATTTTGTACACCAATGATTTTCAATCCGATAGTCCTATTTGCTCCTTCAGAAAATTAGTTGATGATGCGGCTCTTCTTCCCCTGCTCTCGGAGAGCTCAGACGTAAATGCATATTTCAGAGAAATAGAACACATTGAAAAATACTGTAAATATATTTTTTTAAATTATTAAATGTTAAAAAAAACAACAAAGAAATGATAATTGATTTTTGTAGGGAATAGAAGGTACATGATATTGTTTCTCTAGATGGAGAGACCATTGAAATAGTGCAAACTTTTAAACACCTTGGTACTATCTTCGACAACAAATTAAATTTTACTGCAAATACTGATTAAATTAGCCAAAAAGGGCAGCAAAGTTTACAATTACTTAGAAAACTGTCCTCGTTTAATGTTAGCGAAAAGGCCTTGGCTATGTTTTATCACACTCACATCTGCAATATTTTAAGTTTTAATATTATTGCCTGGTATGGCAATCTGAACATTATAAAAAGAAATTTAACTTTGTAGAATCCTAAATGCAGCTGGTAAAATCATTGGCAAAAAACAAACCCCATTTGGGCAGCTGTTTGATACTACCATTCGTAAAAAAGACTCTAGAAATAAAAAAAAAATTACCCTTTGGGTCAGGATTTTGTGACTTTATCATCTCAAAAGAGATACTAAGACACAGCAGACACACAAAAACTCATTTTTGTTCCCCTGACAATCAAATCACTAAATAGAAGGTATCAGATAAAAAAAATTTTTGCATGTAAATTATAAGTGAGTCTGGTGTGAATGTATATTTTCGTTTTCTATAGTTATAATGTTTTGTTTGGTGTAATGCACAAATTGTAAGACATATTTCCTTATGGATAATAAAGATTATTATTATTATTAATTGTGTTTTGAGTAGATACAGTTCGTCTCATTAAATTTGCATTTTGTAATGTAGTTCATATGAATTTTATTACATGCATTTGTACAAGTTCATTATCTATAAAGCGGAAAGTAAGGAGTATGTATGTAAGTATGTATGTATGTATGTTCCAAATAAAAATCAAAACCGTTTGACCAATCTTGATAAACTTCGCACATGTTCCTTAGATCATTGCGAAGACTGTAGTGTATGTTAAATGTCCCTCCCATAACCGGAGGACCCTAAAAATAGATAAAAAGTACCTAATTGTATCTCTATTATATAAACTTTTTATCAAATCAGGTAAACCCATTTTCACAGTAATTTATAATGGATACGAATATATCTGAAGAACAGGAAAACCAATTTTCATACTTGTGGCAAATTTTTTAATTGTAAATATAACATTCCCCATGTTTGACATAGATCCAAACTTAATCCAGTAGATCAGTAATAGTCAAACTAAGGCCTAAAAGCCGCAGGTCATATCTGGCTACTTTTTAATACTTTTTTAGTACTAAAGTTCTAAATATCTATTTTTTATTTTATTTTCTGGTAAAATTGTATTTTCCACCAATGGAATTTTGCATGAAATCCATAAAAAAAAAAAAATTAAAAAGAAAAAAAAAAAAAAAAAAAAGCAAAGATCTGCCAATTATTACAATTATTATTATTACTCAATGTTAGTCATTAGAAAAGTTCTATAAAAGACAAATGTTACAAACAAAACACACAAGAAAATCGTCCAATGAAAACACTCCCAGTGACTTGTTGCATTCATGAAAAGTTTATTTGATCACTTCTAACTGAATGGAATGCTTCAAAACACACACACACACACTTGTTCAAGTCAACACTCTAGAAAACAAAGAAACAATTATCTGATTTGAACACACAAAAAAAAAAATTGTTTGAACTAATATATATATATATATATATATATAAACAACACACAAATTCCCATATGGTCTCATTTGTTCTACACCTTCAAGATTGAACACTTAACTATGCAAAGCTGGACAAACTGTGACAATCGCTTATAATGTGTACAACTTGATAAACAGAAGAGTTTCCCTTCAAACACAACACACAATTGAAGCTTTGATCTTGTGAAAGCTGTAGAAAAAATATTGAGTTTATAAAGAATCAAGAGAAAAGAAAAACAACTTTTTACAAAGAATGAATATCTTGTGTTTTTTTTTTCCCCTTCAAGTCCAACAGATCAACCAGGAGCTGGGGTATTACATCATTTCTCATTGGATCCACTCTAGAAACAATAAATAAGTTACACAAAGTTCAACCATACCGTTACATTATTATATTTACTATATTTGATAAATCTATGTAGAGTTTGAATTGACACATTGTTGAAGACATTTATACATTTGACGAGTGATGCCAGTGAAAACAAGCAACTGATCACACACATTAATGTCACAGATATGGTCATAAGCAATTTCACATCCATCTAATTACAAAGCCCCCACAAACTCAGTGCAGGGAGTTAGACAACCTTTTAACTTTCCACAACATGGTCAGCAGTTTTCTTGTAAGTGAACATCAACAAGACTCACAGGAGGATCAACCATGACTACAGCTAAACACTGCATCAGTATGTATCAAGTCAACTAGAAGCAGTAATACTTTCCAACAACTCTTAACCTTTAACCTCCAGCCTTGCGGGCCATGGAACAACAAGTCAATTTAGACTGTATTTTATACGATATATTTATAGATTTCAATAGAATATAAATAAGGCAGAAAGAAGTAACTCTTATATCTTGAAAGCAGACAAATTCTAGCCTTACAAAAACAAAAAAGTGGACATAAGAAACGTATTGATTGCAGACAGTGACACTTTAAGCTCAAGACTGGAAACTCTCAGGGTCTAGGTTGTCTTCCCCTGCCAGTTCATTGACATCGTCCAGTGAAGATATAATAGCGTCAAGGCCATAAACAGATCTCTGCTCCTCCTCATAGTTCCATCTTAGCCCTGGCTGAAACAGAATGCAATCATCCATCAGTTTGAGTCTTACATTATATGCAGTCTACACTCTGGTTAATCAGACCACAGCTTGGTGCAAATCCAGTGGAGACTGAATGTGCCTATAATTAGACCAGTTTAATGTTATAACCAAAATAATACATGTCTTAATTGAGGTCTAATTAACCAGAGCAGACTGAATGAAAAAGAAAACTAAATAATGAATGTTTCAAATACTATACTAATAAAATGAATCAAATATATTTTGCTTGAAGAACTTATGCCAGGGGGACAAAAAAAAATTCTATTGGATTCAGGTGCATCTGCACCTCACCTTTTTTTTTTTTTAATCAGATTATGTCCCCTGACTGGTTGCTAGAGTATTTTTTGATTCAGTAAAAACAAACTTTATGTTGCATGTTCCCAAACACTCAATTGTATCATGACATAATGAAGTGAAGATTATTATGCTGATTATAGATTTCAATTCTTAGATCTATTTCATGTTCTGATTAACATTTTATTTTTTCTAAAAAAAAAATCAACTTGTATAAATAATATAAATATCTTCATGAAATAATCACTGTTTAAAAAAAAAACATTTACTAAACAAACTGGGATCTAAAAATGTCCACATCAACAAACTTAAACTTTGATTACAACGCATTAAAGTCAAACCTTGTCTAGCCTACAGTCATCTACAACATGATTTTCTAAAGGATCTACCAGCCCAGCTCAAGGTAAACTAGTGTAAATATAATTGGGTCATGACAGTTTTTACATAACTAACTCAAGTAGCTAGCAAGTGTAATAGAAATTTAGTTGTGAATTGATCCCAGCTTTGAGAGTTACAACACACAGAAACTCTGGCTAGAAATGAGACACACTATGAAATAAACTTATCAAGCATGCCAAGTCTTGTACAGTGCTGGGTATTGAGAAGATAAAAACAATATAATATTAAAAAAACAAAAAAAAAACACAGATTGGAGCATGAGTTTAACCATTACCATTTACAGAGAAGACACAATAACAAAAACAATAAGATCTTATGTTCTCTTGGTAATTGAATTATTAATTAGAAGCCTACATTCTGTGTAAAACTTCACAAGTAATGTTTGAGTGAGACTTGTATTAATGTACATTTCCCTGGCATTTTGTTATATCTAATGCCCTGTTATAGAACTAATTTGCTAATTTCCTCCAGGATAATAAAACTATTATCATTATTAAAAAAGTTAATAACCAAGGGACAACAGTTACTATCATTGCAATCCGAAAAATACTTAGCTACACAATGACCTTCACAACAGAAACTTGTTTCTATTCTCTTTCAATAGCATATGATGGCACTTAAATGTTTGCCTAATATTAGTTAACAAAAAAAATAAATCCCCAAAAATATAACCAAACCATCAAGTGATAGCTTCTACATCATGAAGCAATGGCCAAGAGTTGTGGTGACAATTAAACACTCTCTCAATGTGCTGTGGTGTTCATTGCTTTACATTATTAACACTGGCTTTTTTTATTCTTGGGAACTATGGAGCAGGTGATGTAAAACTCAACTGTGACTAGATCACAAAGTCTGAAAGGGGTACTTCCTTTTTCTTTTAATTCTTACACTACTCCTATGGCTTACACATAAAACTGATGAAATAGATGACAACTATAAAGCTGTGAAAGCCCTAAAGCAAACTACCAAAGAAGCAAATTAAATAGAAGCAAACAAAGAAAAAAAAAGGTCAAGCTAGCACAACATAAATTTCAATTACTATTGAGCACTTTGTAGGTTAAATGATTGTGCCATAAAATCTTCCTAGAAATGATTAAAGTTATAAAAAAAAAAAGAATCTAACGGAAAAATGAAAATTGCGTTTGAAAAAATAAATAAAAGGGGCAACAGAAAAAAAGCAAAATATCTAGACACTAAAAGTTGAACAATCATGTCACTGACATACATCCACATCGGGCGTTTCTCCACCTTCCTGCGCTTTTATCTGGGCACTTTGGGTTGCCAGCTAGCCACAAGATGAGCGGCAGCAAGCAACGCCACTACCAGGGCTGTCCCGGCAGACAGGCTCAGCACTAAGACATTACACATGAGAGAAGGGGGAGAGTCACTCACAGTGTTGTTGGCCTCAGAGTCCACCGTCAGCCTCTCTGGCAAATCATCCACAGTCAGTTCGCCTTCCTCATTGTGACCATCATTAGGTGTCACGCTGCCGTTCACCTGCAAGGTTACATAAATATATTTTTTAAATATTTTTTTTTAAAGATGATTAGTTGTTTCCCTTTGAAATTTCCTTTATATTTTTTATTTCTTTTTTAACAAGCATACCTAAAGGATTCCTGCAAGTGAGGAAATAATTGTCCATTATCTCAAGACACTTTTAATGAAGAAATGGACAAGATTATTTAAGTTTTCAGAAATAACCAATTCCCCCATGCTTATTTTTAAACCAGTTATTGCTAGAATTATGAAAACAAGCCCCTCCTGCCTGAAGCTTACTGAGTTAGGTACCAGTTACTTGAATTTGTCCTTGCTCCTTTCAGTGATAACAATTCCGCCAGACCTAATATCTGAGCCCACATCCCAATGAAAGCACTTTATAGATAATGGATCACAAAAGTCTGAAAGGGTACTTCCTTTTTCTTTTGTTTTGACTCTTTTGCTAATCATATAGCTTACCTCTTCCATCAAAAACAGCCTTATGAAAGTATCAATGAGTTACAAAAACAAACAAAAATTATTTGAAAGACAGTTTCCAATCATGTGTGTCCTGTGAACAGCCTAAAAATGAATAACCTTTACAACTGTTCTTCTCTCGTCAAGTGATAGCTGTCTTTTTTTTAATCTAAAATTGGCAAGGTGACTAATTATGACACGTCAGGTACCTGAGTCTGCGGTTGGGTCTCTCCTTGATCCCCAGCACCATTTGCTTTCAACACAATAGTGGAGACAACAACTTTCTTGGGACTCAGTTTCTCTGTGTCTTGTTTCTCTGCCACGTCTCCTCCTGCTCCCTCTGTCTCTGGTCTGGCAGAGGATGGCACGGACGGCTGGGTGTGCCCATTGACCTCCATCCTGGAGTCTCTGCTGACAGCAGTTTCACTCGGGTCATCCATACTTTGTTCTTCATCCCCCTCATCGTCATCTTCATCGCTGCCTATTCTGTTAAGTTAAAGTAGTGAAAAAGGAATGACTACAAGATTATTATAATCACAAAGTGATTAACTCTTTCTTTCCTAACTGACAATGTAAACATTGATTTAACCCCACTAAATTAAATTGGTTTTTGGATTTTTAGACTTTAATGTGTGTTGTGTAAAAAGAGAATGCATTTCCCAATAATTCGACACCAAATATAACATTTTCTGATATCAAACACAAAAGTTATTGAAGTTTAATCATAACAGGATAGTGAAATAAAAATGAGCAAAATGAATAATTCTATCGGAACGAGGAAAATAATTATGGACAGAAAGAGTTAGTGCAATGCTAATGGGGTGTCCAGAATCAATGAAATGTAATGAGTGCAGAAGTGTTACCTGGTGAAAGGTTTGGTCTCACTGGGTGCCAACTCAATCTGGTAAGATTCCATCTCAATGTCTTCTTTATCTTCACTGTCTCTCAGATTTGTTTCATTGTCTTCCTAGACAACAGAGAAAGATACACGGAAATGGAAAATGTCTTTATAAAGGTACAGGATAAACTGACACAGAATTCACATTAGAGCATTGTTACCTAAACCACAGATCCCTAGTGTTTTGCAAGGCCTGAATACTGGATTAATTAGAACTAGATTAACTAGAAGCCACCACAGAAATAATATCTCTCTAAAAAATAAACAAAGTGTTCCGCTAAATACTCTGAATGTGTGAAGTGTTCCATTATGGAAAAAGTTTGGGAGACATTGCATTATAGGATGCTTATGGATAGGACATGAATGCCATTTG